CCTGAGTTTTCCAAGTCCCAAAAATTTTGTTATTGTTTGGAAATCAAATCTTCCCTACAACTACATGAAAGCTAAAGGACATCATCATCACCTTTTCGTCCATGTAGGCACCACCCGAAAATAGTTTCCACTGCAACAAGATTTTTGCTTAAGTATTTAACGTGTCCCCATTACTATGTTGTAATAATAATCTGCACCAATTAGAATGGCAATGGGTTTTTTACAATCGGGAAAATCTGCGAGCATCAAAATTTTTAATTGTCTGTTTTGCTTAATTTCTTCTGATTTAGGAGGTGGAATATCTGTACCTGATATATGATCAGTTACCTAATAATTCAACTTCTATTCTAGAATCGGGGGAGAACTTCTATGTTCTAAAGTTAATTTAACTACGTCTAATTTTTTGGACGGGAGAAGTATTCCCAAAAGTGTAGACAGTCAATTTTTCTTTTCTTATGACTTCGAGGTTTAATCTGTCCGCTAACTCGCGAGCACAAAAACTTTCCATACTTCCACTATCCAAGAGAAGTCTGGCAAACACCTTTTCCTTAGCTGTTTTAACTTTTATCGTGCAAGTCTGTAAAAAGAATTGTATTATTTGCATTATGTGAAACGGCCGAAACAATTTCTTCTTTCTGTTCCTTAGTTTGTGTATCATTTTTCGAAATTAATATACTATCCTTTTTATCACTTGGTGTATTTTTAACTATCCAACTGGATTTGAAACATATGGCTTCTGAATGTTTACCTTTGCAAATTTTACAAACTTTAGTTTGGCGTTGCCGGCACAGTGAGATTTTGTGTTTAGGGGCCAAACAAAGCAGACAACGCGGTTAACAAATCCAGCTGACTGCATGGTTGTTTTAATAATTTTCTCCATGCGTAATGTAACTATAAAGCCAACTCCCTTTAAAAGTTTTCCTTAGTGTAGTCTGCCGCAGTCAAATAAACCAAACAAAAGCAAACTACATATTAGGAGAATGTGATATTAATAAATATATTTTACTACATGAAAACAAGTTTTTTTTTTTTACTTGCAGTATTTACAAAAGTCTAATCATCTTTTTTCTTTTAAAAATGCTGAATTCTGTACACATCATAAAGACATAAAACACACTTTCAAAAAGAAATGCTCAATTTCTGATGAACATATTAACTACCGTAATTTCTAGAAGAAACACCACTGCATTTACATGTATAAAACTGAAATTTTCAGCAGGTGAGGCATTTCTACCAATGCAACACTTTGCGTTCACTTAAAAAAAATTTCGTAAGATGTCATTGTACATATCTTGGATGGATATTGGTGTTATTTCCACAAAAAGTTGCTTTCTGAAACTCAGTTGCTTTCTGAAAGCTTTATTTCGTTTACATTCTTTCCCTTAAACGGACCTATGTGCCTTATTCATCCCAAACGGGGGTCTTGGAACAATAACATTCTTCCCTCACTCAAATCAGAATTCTCATTAGTTTGAATAGCTTCTGTTCTCTGTCATTTTATGAATCTTCCGGGACCTATCATCTCCCCTTCATTTTAAATTTTAAGTCAACTGTGGTTTTTTTCAAATATGGACACGACTCCACTTGCATTGCAATAATGAACTCTGACGTTTTCCCCTTCAGCATGAATTTATTCTTTTTATGATTCTGCCATATACAGATCCCATCAGCTTTGGTACAAATACTCAATAGTTTTTAAGTAAGAGGAAAGCAGGAAATTTTTGAAAATGGCACAAAAGCTATATTGCTGGTTTTAAGCTGAATGTAATTTCCTGTGTCAAACAAATTGGAAACAGAGCAGCAGCTAAAGAGTTTGAAGTACGTGACAGATGCATTTGACATTGAAGACCTGAAAAAGAAGAAATTAAAAATATGCCACAACAGAAATGAGCCAGAAGCAGTGCTGTAAGGCGGCTAAATCTAAAAGACGACCTTGTAAACCGGATAAAAGAGCAACGAAAAAAAGGAATGACCATTCTGACTGTAAGAATTAGCTTACAAGCAAAATTTATGGCGAAACAAATGAACATAAATGACTTCAAAGGAGTAGCAAATTTATGAACAGAAAAAGTATTTCTGCGAGTTCTGGAGTAACAATCCAGCAACAATTACCAATGGACTGGCAAGATAAAAGAACATACTTTCTAAAATATGTGACAGATATTATTGATGAGAAAAAACTTCTTTGACCACAGATACTAAATGTGGATGAAACTCTATTAGCTTTCAACTCTCCTGCAAACAGAACTGTTGATGAAACAAGTGCAAAAACTACACTGGTGTGCAAAAATTAAGGACGAAGTCGAAAAATTAGCACATCAGCTGAACGAAGAGGCAGAGCGGAAAGAAAGACCAATCAGGAGATTAAGTAAGGTGATGTACGGTAGCACATGTGCAGATATGCAGGTAGACGTAATGGGGGAGTGTCTGAGTAGTATAAAGCATGTTGTCGGTGTAAGATCAGTATTTCTGGGAAAGAGATTGCACACTGTATGGAAGTTAAAATCACACCGAGTTGCTGCCTCAGTGAGAAATGGCAAATAATCAATCTGTTAGACGACATCTGGATGCTTTTACCCGAGGTCGAATCATTGAGAAGTTGGAGGAAGGCCGCAGTGTGACAAGTGTGGCTGCAGAGTTCGGATTGCTCACAGCATCGTTTCACGACTTTGGAGACAATTTCAAACTACAGGAACAGCTATCCGGGGGTTTAGTAGTGGTTGTCCACGAGGAACCACACCCGCAGATAACCGGTATATTGCCTTACAGGCCAGAAGAAACAGGTGGCAGACAGCGGGAGAAATCGCTAGACACACGACACAGGCGACTGGACGACCGATATCGCGTTTTACTGTGGCCAGAAAGAAGACTGCACAGTGGTGGTCTGTTTGCACGACGCCCTGTACGGTGTGTACCTCTAACGCCTGCCCATCGGAGAAGGTGTTCTCTGTAGTGCTGGGAACACCGGAATTGGAGAGACAATGAATGGGGACGAGTACTCTTTACAGATGAGAGCAGATTCAGTCTGAGTAGAGATTCTCATCGCATACTCATCTGGAGAGAGCGGGGAAGCCGCAATAATCCCTCGAAAATCATTGAAAGGGACAGGTATGGAGATGGCGGTGTTCTCGTTTGGGGAGGCATCATGCTTGGTAGTCGTACAGACCTTCACATCTTCGACGCAGGTTCAGTCAACAGGACCTGTTATTGTAACGAGATTCTTCTTCCATATGTGCGTCTTTTTAGAGGCACTAAGGGTCTGCAGTTGCTTTTTCATGGACGACAATGCACCATGTCATCGCACAGTAGCTGCCGAACAGCTCTTAGAGAGTGAGGATATTGAACGTATGGATTGGCCGGCACGATCTCCGGATCTCAATCCCATCGAGCACCCATGGGATTTTCCTAGTCCATGGGGTTTTCTAGGCAGACGCTTGGCAGCTTGTACCTTACCACCAGTAACGATTCCGGAGCTTTGATTGGCGCTGCAAGACGAATGGGCAGCAATGCCTCAACAACTCATTGACACCCTCATTCTCAGCATTGGCAGACCCTGTGAAACCTGCCTAGCAGTCAGGGGAGATCATATCCCCTATTAAAGACCGGATGTTTCTTGCTGGACACCCATCACAGGGATGTTTCGGCCTTCAGTCGCATTGCGCTCCATGCTACTTTTTCAATAAAGCTTCTTTTTATCCCTCTGATTTCTCTTTTAGTAAGTGTTGCTTATATTACTCATGTCCTTATGTATTGGGGATCTTGCGGTATTAAATGTGTTGATTTGGAAAGCTTTTGTACAAAGTTTATATTGAAAAAAACCGTCTCGTCCTTAATTTTTGCACACCGGTGTATATTTGTGCTTACAATGGGGCATGAAAGAACATCATGTGTGTTGGCTTGTGCCGCAAATGGTGTCAAGCTAAAGCTGATGATCATCGTTGAAAAGAAAACTATTCTGAAGGGAGACTTTCCTAATGACGTAATTAGTTGTGCAAATGAGAATGGATGGATGTGTGAAACAATCATGCATGAGAGGCTAAAAAATTTGGCAGTAGCTGTAAGAGATTCTTTTTCCAATCAAAAGGATTGTTGATAATGGATTCCATACATTTTCATCTGCTACATGCAGTGAAAACCAGTGACTTGACAAAAATCTTAACAAGCATTAGATTCGTCGGTTAATAAATCCTTCAAAGCTGAAGTCTGAAAGCAGTGGGAGTGTTGTATGAATGAAGGATTACACATGTATACCAAAAGCTGCGAAATGTATACAGAAGTTTATGAAAAAATTGTGAAGTGGGTAGAAAGTGCATGGAAATCAGTGAAAACATCGTTAATAACAGTAGGGTTCAAGGATGAAATTATATCCCCAGATAAAAAGACTCTAAACCAAGAGTATAAATGTGACGATCTGAAGACTTTTACTCCAGGATTCCAACTATTTAGTCCAGGATTTGCTAAATCTTTTTAATTGAGATAGTGAAGAATCTGATTTTGATGGCTTCATATGATGAGTTTGATGTAATTATTTTTGTGAGCAAAAGTAAAATTTTCTTCTGTTATTCAATTTAATATCTTGTTGCCAGCATATTTTTTATAACATACTATGAGTATTACGAATATAGCCTTCTTTAGTAGATAAACGTAAGTACATTCGTGAACGTAAGTGTATTTTCAACATTTCTTACCTATAATTTGTTTTTGAGTTTTGGTTTCATTTCATGCATTTTTCTTAACTGTTATGCCATATATCAGGACACAGATCAAAATTTTGCATCTATAATGTTCATGATAGTGTGACATGCAATTTAACTTATTGTGGTGTTTCTGCACAATTTTTTTTCCACCATTTTCCTTGAGTGCAGTGTTTACACTGATACGTCCTTTCTTCTAGAAATGACGGTAATTAGTGTTTCCTCCTCTTCAAGCCCTGCATTTAATAGAAAACAAAACTTACTTTTACTCCGAAATTTCTGTCTTTGCATGTTAACTATACTTACTGTATTAGCAGGGTCATCAGGATTGACTTTTGAAAAATCAAATGCAGCATATGCAACAGGTGTCCAAAGAGGACTGATATCTGGTAGCTTAAATTCTTCAGGACTAACAAGTCCATATGTAGCTTTAATTTCTAATGGTACTGGATCTGCAGGTACTTTCTGATGAAATCTGATTAAAAAAAATATTCTTTAAGAAACTTATGCAAAATTAAATGCATTTGCTACTTAAATCAGTAGTTATAAAAATAAGTATTTAAAAACAGAATGCAAATAGCATAAATTAAATGTGAATAAAATACAGTTCATAATTTGAACATGTCTTCAAAATTAGATTGAAAACCCAATTCAGACATAAACACATTTCAAAATTTGGATGAACAGAAATTTTTCGTTTTCAAACCGAACCACCTGTTTGTTCTCATGCTTTTTCAGACTGTGAACTTTGGCCAAGATTAAAGGGTTAAGGATCCCCCTCCAAGCAAATATAAACTTTCTCAAACCATAACATAAAAAAAAAAAGTATACCTATCTATCAAGAAATTGAACCAATTTGAATCTGTTAAAAATTATAATAAAAATGGTTACTTTATTATAGCAGCTCCCAAGATGGATTTGCTAATCAACAGAGCTATCTCACCAAAATCTGGCCGTGTGTTCTTATACCTCACCATGTGATCATACATTAGCACCAACTGCATATTCTTATACTTCATCACGTAATCGTATATTAGTACCATGTTGTATTTTTGCTCTCACCGTATGTTTTTCATTTTTTGATGAGGATTTCGAATTCACATTGTTTACTTAAGCATATTCATTGCTTTTTTTGTTGAATAAGATGTTAATGATCTTTAATTTACTAAGAAATGAGGTGGATGCCATATAATTTTTCAAGAGGTCTTTTACCTGACAAACGATTATGCAAAAATGGCCACAACAGGAAACTATGTTAATGACAAAACCATTTGTAGGTGCAAAGTTAAAAATTGCAATAAGTATGGCCTGCATATTGGAGACTGGTTCAGAGGTTCCAGAACACCTATCATTTGTCGCTGCTATTGGATTACGTATTCTACGGCAGAGGAGTTGACATCTATGAAATGGTGTAACTAACACCTTAATACACATGAAAGTGCTGCAGTCAACAAATGATTATATGCAATAAAGTAATAATAATATGGCTAAGGATTCTTAAAAATATTCTTAAGAAATGACAAATGAGTATTATCGTTATTCTTATATATTGTGTTGTTTATTTTTATATTTGTGTTTCACGAGCTTGAAGAAATTATAGGCGAGATCTTGAGCAAGCCTAAAATAGTTATGAATAATTTCTGCTCGGTGTTTTATTTTTTTTCTCTACTGTCATTTAGCTGCGTAGCTCTTTTGTGGCTTTCTATTTCTTTACAAAAAAATTCAATTAATTCGTTAACATTCCATGTTTGGTCACTGTTTCTACTGCGACTATTCTAATGTAATCTCTGATGGAATTAATTTTAACAATATTGGGCAAGTAAACTATTGTATGTTTCTGATACTCCGTTCATTGACTTTAAGCATCTAATTTGAATTTCACACTGATCACAAAAATTCCTAAGATTTTCTATATCCCTTACATTTCTAACAGGGGATAGATTTAACAGTTTATTCATATGCATTTATTACCAAATCTTTACTCCCAAACCTAATTAACAATTCTATAGCTGAATCATAGTTCTCATTTATAAGCGAAAGTCCGGAAATGGCATTATAAACTACCCCACCTAGTAACGATTTTAAGTAACTGAACTTATTTACTTTCGATAATGAGTCATTGTTATGGATAGATGCCTCGAATTGACTCCAAAATTCTTGCCAATTTCTAGAATCACCAAAAAATTTAGAGATAGTCAATTTTGGTAGGCGAATACATTTATTTCAATTTTGGAATCTATAGTGGTTTCATTAGAAATGTTCATACTTTCCTTATCCGAATTTTTGAGTTTGTATAATTCCTTCAATTTGTTCCTTGCTCTAAATTACAATACTTGTATTTTTTCTTCATATTCTACAGCGGATGAAACTTCAAGTTCAAATTCACCCTCTGCGACTTTCAAATCGTTCAATCTGCGACTTCGTTCTATTTGAGTGTTTAAATCACTCAGAGTTCTTGCTTTTCTGTTTAATATGTCTAAAGTTTCTTATATTACATTTACACTAACGTCATCTTTGCTTAATTCTGTTCAATTTTCTTTAGTACCTTGGACACTGCGGTCCTTGATACTTTGTGTTTCGATTTAAGCTTAGCAACAGGATCTTCCATAATTACACTTAGAAAACTTATATTACCTTTTTGCAGGCCTCGTATACTTCACACCATGCTAATCCATACTTACGAATCCACATTTTCGAATATTAGCCGGCTTCCCGGCACGTCGCACCAAAAATATTTATGTATGCACTAATGTATACTCATCGAATCAACGAATGGCGCTGCCTGCACATCTAACTATGAATTTAAATTTCTATAAGCGGTGGTTCAGTTATGATCAAAATACTCTTATTTAGTTTTAAAAGGATTTATTAAAATACTAAACAAATTGATTTAATCAATAATCTAGAAACAAATCTAATGTTACATCTCATGAGCTGCGTCATAACAAATCGAAAGTAAAGTTCTCACTGTTGCCATTCCGAGGCAGAGAAAAGTTCGTTTCTAATCAAACTGGAACAATGACATTTACATTATTGCAGTTGTTAGGAATTAAGTTAAAAAATATCTCCGATTATAACTACAAAATCCAGTCCTTTTTTCATGAATCAAGTTTCAATTTTGAAAAATATATACAGATAAAATATCAAGCATTAACAAACCTTAGCAAATATCAAGCTTTAGCACCTCCATTAAAAGTCTATTCTCAGTTTACAAAATACATTAACTCTGCATCTCATTCAACTTTAGAATGACCAAGAATAATGCTAATGCTTCTTTTTTATACAAACAGGAACAATCAATGCATAATATGCTCATGCTCTAGTAAAATTGAGAAAATGTGACAGTGGTGATTATGTTTTAATTCTTTAAGGACCAGCATTGCGTATACGTGATGCAACGATTCCACTCCTACGAGCCCAGCACTGCGTATACACGAAGAGCTGCGATCGATCTCTGCACCCCAGTGTCGTGCACATAACCTGAAAATGGAACAATTTATTCAAATTTTTTAAAAGCCACTAGATGGAGCTAAATGGTAACTGTTTTCACATGGGTTGATTTACATAGCATTTGACCTTCATCTACTGACATTAGTTTCTGTTCTGTGCTTCTGGTTTTGATAGATTTATTGGTATGAAAAAACTGGGAATCACGGCTCTTTATAAGTGTGCCTGTGAATTAAAGGGGCTCAGGCATTTTTATTTCGTTAGGAAATTTTTTTCACTTTTCTTCTTTGCTTTTTTCGTTATTAGAATATGGGTAAGTGTATCCAGCTCTTTGTTTTCATTTATGTTATTTGCTTTTTTGTTAGGAAAGTGTATTCAGCTCTTTGTTTTCATTTATGTTATTTGCTTTTTTGTTAGGAAAGTGTATTCAGCAGGTGTATAGCAGGTGTAACGTCACTGTGATAGAAAAATTAACGTTTCCGTGATAGAAAAACTTAAGACCAGTTGTCCTTTATTCCATTTATTTTGAAACTTAATATAAGCTTTCTTGGTTAATTAAAAAGTTACATTACAACATTATAACAGAAGGGGAAAGACCATCAGCTTTCTCGACGCATAATGCGTCTTACTCACTCACATTTCTCAGGAAAGAGCCAGCGTTTTTGTTTTTCTTACTCGATTTAATAGGTCATTATATAATATATTTACTTTACATATAATGTAATTATATATAATGTATATATTGATGTGATTAGTAACAGATATCCAGCCAATGGGAGCCTTTCCTTGATCACTTTCTGGTCATCGTGTCTGCCACGATGACCAGAAACTGTTTTTCGATTTAGAAAAATAGGAAGTTTTCTAATATAAACCTGATGTCACACAGGATTTGAGGATGAAATATTTCTGGAAGTCTTTTGAAGAAATTTTGGGACATGTGTTGGGGCTACATTAAGTTTCATTCCATTAGCCATGGCTAAGAAACCTTACTTAAAAACTTAAAAATTTGTCCAAAATCACTGGACACTCCACATTTCTGTCTAACTGGAAGACATTTTCTCAAACTTTACATTGACAGAAAAGGTAATAAAAGTAGGAAAAGATTCGTTGTGTGTGCTAAAAACAAGGAAAAGTGAAAGCAAACAACGTACTTTGAGTGCAAAATGTGCAGTGTAGGACTGTATCGATCCTTGTTTTGAATTATTTTACACACAACAGAATTTTAAATTGGAATTTGATTACCTACAGGCATTTCTTGCTTAGACTTTTTTTTTTTTTTTTAAATTTCGTATTTGTAATTTTGTTTTCATGTTTATAGTATTTATTTCTGTGTGTATAGTTATGACTTTAGTATTTTGTCTGTTTAATTTATTTCTATTAAAGTGATATTCTTTATATTAATAAACATTCAAAACAAGTACATTAAATAAACAACTTCACAAATTGAAGTCATTATATCAAAATGCTGATGTTATACGATTTTTTTTTTTTTTTTTTGTAAAATTAGGCTTAGCTGCTGAAAATGCGCAGGCTGGTGGTGACTATCCATTTCAGCGGGTCTGGTCCCGTGACTGCGATTTGTTCTCCACGCGCTGGTCCTTAAGGGGTTAATAAATACAAATACTAGCCTCAAAAAGAATAGAAAGATACAAAGCAGTCTATTTCCCAATCTGTGTATCATTAACCATTTTTAAATTGCATAATACTCCAGTTTAGAATAATGATAGGTATAATGCTACCTCTAGGTGGCTAAGTGGTTAAGGCTGCCGAACATAGGTAGTTTGAACCCTAATGACATGGTTGGTGGCATGATAACTTTTTGTGGTTTTACTTATACATAATTTGAATAAAAGTTTTTTCCCTTAGAAAGTCCTCAAGAAAAGCATTCCTCACTCTAGTTCTTGTCTGCTTCACCATATTCAAATAGAAACACCTAGAGTAAGATGTATCTTTTTGATTATTTCTTACTTTTCTTCAAAATGTTAGGTACCAATCTTATGGTGGCTTGGAAGCTGAGATCACAGCATTGAAATACTATCTTAATTAATAACAGCTGTTTGATTACTAACAGCTGTTTGAAAGCAACTTCATGGTTTAATTTCATATATTTTGTAACAGTCTTCATTAAAGAACTTTTCTTATCGCTATTCTAGCCATGTTTTAAGGTAAGAATTATTGAGCCATTATATATTACTTTGAACTATTTTACATAACAAGAACATTTTCAAAACTAAAATATGGCACTAAAATTACAATTACTTTTAAGAACCATTATTAAAATAAAACTTCTTGCAGCTCACCATCATTAGCTAACAGTACATTCACGGCAGCAACGGGAATAAATGAAAACTAGTTAGTGCATCATTGTGCTGAGCTGATGCAACCTAAAGCTTATTGGGTTCATGAGAAAGTACAACTGTACTCAAATGGTGCACAGTCTCAAAGTGGTCAAGATGATTTTACTTTTAATATTTAGTCCTCGGCAAAAAGTACTCATAAAGTATTCTTATTACTCATAAAATTAATATGGGACTAGCATGATTCCTCTTACCTACTGATAGCATAGCACATCACTCGAAATCTATGTTTTTTAATATTCCAAAGAGTTTAGGAATGAAAATCTGAAGGGGAGGATAAGTGTTTTCATACAAGCAAAAATCAGATATATACTATTTCTCTGTACAGCTACTGTTCAAATTAAAACACTTCTTTAGTGCTGGTATGTTATCAAATGTATGTTTAAACCTCTATTATTAGTGTTGTTTAGTATTATTAACTCCTTAACTGTTGTGGAAAACATACAAGATTCGCTCCCCAGTGCCACTCTTTTTTACACAGGCAGGCATAGTTATACGATGTATTAGGGGGGAAATATGTGCAATATTTGCTGTCTAAAACCTGTTTACTTTCACAAAATAAAGAATAAAAGAAAAAATGAAAAAACAAAGTTTAATGTTTAAAGTAAAACTATAATAAAAAAAGATGTAAGTATAATAAAAATGATGTTTTGTATAATAAAAAAGATCCCAAAAAAAAAATGGAGTTTCAATCAATTTATTTTTAAACCAGTAAAGTGCAATATCAGGTTTCACTGTTATACCTAGTAAAATCAATATACCTAAATGGAAAGCAAGGAGGCTGCATAGGCAAGTTTTTCATATCAAGTTGTACCCAACATTGAGCATCTTTTGAAGAATAGTCGCAATCCTCTTCATCTAACACAATATCATATTCTGAAGCGACCGATCCTGAAGATGACGGAAAATAATCTATTTCACTGTCATACATAATCGTAAAGAAAGCACCTACTACAAACAGTAAATGAAAATGGAAGACACACGATAAAAAAATACCTTTTACTTAAACAGAAACACGACCAATAACTGGGCAGTCATTACATTCACTGTTTCAGAAACATCCTGATCTCTAAGTCTTCCCCCTCTTCTTCTCTGAAATAGTATCCTCTTTTGCATACTATGTCAAAGTCATTGTGGTTTTGCATTCTAAAGCTTTACAAAAAATTTTACTGGTAGCAGTGCAAAGCAAATGACAGCATTTCAGAAGGGTGCAATTAAAAAGTATAAACTCTATAAGCTAGTGTGTCCTTCCATAAAACCTTGTATATTTTGACTAATAGCAAATCGCTATTTATTTTATTTTGTATATCGGCATTACCATTGCATTATCTATAGTTTTTATTACACCTTAATGTGTTTCTTCAAGTGGACACGTCGGGAAATTGGAACAGAGAACCGAGACTAAAGATTTTGGCAAAGTTTTTTCAATTAATTTATAAAGAGTGTTTCGTATACAGTTTCAATTGTCTGTTTTGGCGAAACATGATATGGAGCTAGCTTGATTCGAAATTCATTAAAAATAATTTTTCCTGACGAGCCATAATGAGATTCGAATTAGGCTAATCTATTATTTACCACTTCTTAGTTTTATATTTTTGCTTAAATCATTTGTTCGTACTTTATTCTAATGTTTTAAATATGCCTTACTTTGATTAGTATATTTGCTTACTATTAGTATTGATTTTTATTTGTAAATATTCAGGTGTTTGTATTGTTTAATTTATCCTTGTAACACATTTCATCGCACCTTATTTTGCTTATGTTAATATTTTCGAAACCACAGTATTTAAGCAACTTTTTAGTGTACGAACCTGGAATATTCTTTTAACTTTTTTCTAAATTTTGCAGCACAATGCGCAAAGTTTTTGACCACATAGGTCTTTTTTCGTTTGTTCTTTTTACTTTAATTAGTTTATATTAAGGGGCCGGGGCAGTTAACGCATCGGCTTAGCAAGGCATATATATATATATACACGCCCGTGGCAGTTAAGGGGTTAAAACACTTATAAGAAACTTGTCACCTAATCACATCAGTATCAAATGTCTGTAATGCAGTTTTTCTTTTTTGTGTGTGTGTGTGTGATTCCCCTTTCTAACACACCAGAACTTCAAAAACAGCTCTCAAACCATAAAGAGATCAGTAAGCTTTAAAAAATACTGATACCAATAGCAACTTACATAAATCCGTTCTCTCTCTCGCATTTCTCAAGCGTTTGTTTAATAACAGGTCCTAGTTTTCGAAAAAAGAGATGATTTTCAGGTTTTGCACTTATCCCTGATCCTTTCATGCTAGAATATTCCTTACACTGTTTACTTGCAGCCACATAACCTAAAAAGAATTACTTTTAAAACAAAAGTTTTAAGCATATAAAGTATAAAATTATAATAAATTTGATTTTAAATAGCATTTAAAAAATTAGGGAAAAATCATTAACATATCATAATAATTATTCTTTCTATACTCCACTTTTCATCAATAATTTTGAATAAAATTATGCAAAAATAAATTCTTCCTTCAATTTCAAATCAGAAATATGAAATATGAACATCACGTTCACCTTATTTAATCAGTCTCTCTCTAATGATAATTTTGCAGAAAATATTCCCTACTGAATGATACATATTGTTGCAAATTCAGCAGTATTTCAAACACATGAACTTACAAAAAACAAGGCATGAATGCATGCATAATATTAAATTCAAACAGGCCTTATAAACCTGCTAAACTATGATCTCCCCTCTATACACAGTGTCCACAGAAGTCCTTACCTGGTCTCTATTTTCTCAACCATTTGCCATTGACCTATATGGTACAAAGTCTGAAATCTGGTCATCCAATATCTGGAGAACTAGTAAAGTTTCTTTCTTTTCTTAAAAAAAAAAAAAAAAAAAAAAAAACTCCTTTGCAAAAAATGAGAAAGAATTAGGTTTTGAAAACAGCATTTCACATATGCGCAGTAGACATTTTTCCATAATAAAATATGTAAAAAATGGTGATTCTTAATTTCAATTTGGCACTAAATAAAATATTTCCATGTTGAAGAAACACAATCATTTACTAGCTTAGATCTAAATGATCAATAGTTGTTGGCTTCAGCCACCTTTCTGCTTGGCATACATCTCAAACTGAAAGATTTACCAAAGTTCATTGCTGATTTTCCACCTACTGAATAACTCATCCCTGATGCCAACCTGGCATTAATCTATTATTATTTTTTGCTTTCATTGCCATGCGACTATCAAATCATGACAGCTTGAGAAATGAATCGTGCAATGATAACTAAAAAATTTTTAAAAAAAAATATTAGTAACTGAATACCAAACAGCATGGCAACCTTTTATGCTGACATTGCACTTGGCAACAATACAGACTTCGGACAACTACACTTTCCGAAGATTGTGTTGATTAGAGAAATTTAACAATTTTTTCTTTTACATATGGGGGGGGGGAAACTAAATTTTACAAATGATATTAATTTGTCTTTAGCACTGTGTAAATTAAAAATAACTAATTTGTTATTCAGATAAGTTTTACATATGTGTGGGAATTTACTGATCTGGGACTCGGATAAACCACAACCATGCATGGGAAGTTGACGTAATTATAATAAATAACTAAAGTAATACAATTAAGAGACATTCTTTAATGCATGATAAGAAAGAAGAGAAATTTAGAGCAGTGGTTCTCAACCTTTTTTGTCCCATGCACCCTTTTCACCATTGTTAGACGATCATTCCCCTCCTTCCTTTTCAAAACTTGAAAAATATATATGCATTTATTTAAATTTAGATTATTTTTTTATGTGTTTGATAAATTAAAGAAGTATGGAAAATGCAGATAAATATCAAACCTTGAACAAGAGCAGTTTTTATATTTATACACTAAAACTAAACATTTTACAGGTAAAGAAATAGCTGAGATCATTAATCCCCTGAAACTATGAAATGCCTCCCTTGGTTGAGAACTTCTGATTTACAGGAATAACATAGCTTCAGCCGCCAATGTCACGCTACATCGCTAACAGTATACAGCGGATACTAGATGAGAATTAAGCTACGCTAAAATGAGACAATACTCAATCTACAGCATAGTTTTTACGTGTAGAAAATATCACTACCAACAGTGAACAAAGTGACAAATAGCTTGCTGAGAACAAAACAATTTCAACTGACAGTTTAGTGGGAATTCTCGACTCGTAAATTACAGGAGCTTTGTAGGTGAAAAAGAAATTATGTGAAGTAACTTAAAATCTAATAACTTAAATTGAAAAACATGTTTAATAATGCAAGCAAATTACTATTGAGCTTTTTTGAAAATTATGATTCCCTTAAGATCTTAAATGCTTCGTTTCATAAAAAACAATTTCCTATTTTGAATTTCATAACTTCAAAATGTCATCTTGCTAGCTTTAAACTGATGATCTAAAATCCACAAAATTCAGAATCGCCCAAGTCTTGACGAGTCTGGCTCTCAGATTTTGTATTGTATTTCCAATTATAAAAATGTTTTAAATGAAGCACAGATTCATGCTTTGGCATTTTTTTTTTTATTTAAGGAAATCTATAAAAATTATGGAACTAACTTTTTACACGCCTCTCTAGTCACTATACTTATATTCAGGAAACTTTTTTACTTGTTATAAAAAATAAAACACTGCAAATTTGACTCTCATATGACAAAAATTGACCCAAATATTTGATATTAAAATTGAGAATTATATCCAGGAACAGTACAGATATCAAAGAGCAAAATGTTTGTGTCTGTACACAACTAAAAATAAAATATCCAAAAAAAGACTACTGATGATAAGAGATTACACAACAATTATTTCTGTGCAAGCTTATTGTAAAAACATATTGGTGGTGGTGGTTGTAAATAGATTTATGGCGCAAAGCTCTAAAAGCCATATGCGCCAAACACAGGATTTATTGTATATATGTTAGAGAGACAAAAAGGTTTAAAATCAACAGCACACTTATAAAATCAAGGAAAGTAGTAAGATAATGAAATGGTGGGATGAAATGCTGATAAGATTCAGATAATGATATGTGCAGTATGGATTTAAAATCATAACACATCTGATTCATTAAAATATATAGCAATAAAATTCTAATATAAAATCTTGTTTCTTTCTGATACTGAAACAAATTGGTATTGACCTCTCTTCCAATTAAACTGTCAAGAGGCATGTCACAACTATTAAAATACTTCTGGCGAAGACTAATTAAATATTGACACTCAAAATGTGAACTGACAAACATTACAATTTGGACAAACAGGCTCATTCTCAGCTTTTAGTAGATAGTTATGAGTCACCTTAGTGTGACCTATTCTAAGCCAAGTCAAAAGAACTTCCTCCTTACGATTTCTAGTACAATGTCAAAGCTCTATTTTAGGTTTCACCATTCTTAAGTTGTTACAAGTATGGAAGCCCCAAAGTCGCTGCCAATTTTTAAGATCCTTTGTTTGATGACACGACTGATATCTCTCAAAGGGATGAGGCAACTGGACAGTTCAACAGCAGATTTCGCTGCAATGTCTGCCAGCTCATTACCCTTTATTCCTGTATGTCTGGGAACCCAGCAGTACAGAATTTCATATAAATGACTCGTTAATTTAATATTTAACTTGAGTACATCCACTATTACAAGATTCTCGGTGCTGGAAAAAGATTCTAAAGCTTTCAATGCACTGCAGGAGTCTGTATATATAATGAATTTTCTATGGCATAGCGTTGAGATGTACGAAAGAGCATAATATATGACAGCCAGTTCGGAGGTTAAGACCGAGGAAGCGTAGTGTAAACGTCTGCCCTCTATGTAGTCACCAATTACAACTGACATCCCAACATGACAAGTTGACTTAGATCCATCCGTATATATGGAAAGATAACTGATGTAACTATGCCTGTGCTCAGCAAAAATTTATCTGTAGATGATCTCATTAGTGATTGTTTTGACGTAACTGTGGAAAATATCAAGAAGCTGGATTCGTGCATTTTCCCAGGGTGAAATTTCAAAATGCTGTACTGCTTGTGGGGACATATTAGACAGGGAGAATTCTTCAATGAAAGGACGAACTCTGACAGGAAAAGAAGGCACACAGGATGGACGTGCTTCAAATAAAAGGTCAGAGCTATTATCATGTAAACACAGTTTATAAGGATGGTCAGGTTGAGACAATATATTTAAATACTGTAAAAGAAACAACCCCTCACGCCTAAAATGCAGTGATGGTTCGTAACAGTTAACATAAAGACTCTGCACAAGAGATGTCCTGAAAGCACCAGAAGAAATCCGCAGAGCTTGATGATGAACAGAATCTAGTTTTAACAACACTGAAGACCTGAATGGATCCATAAACAACTGAGTCACAGTCCAGTTTAGAGTGAATAAGAGCTTTGTAAATGTGAAGCATAGCTCTGCACCCCAGGAGATGTTCACTAGGACTTTTAAATATTTAAAATTTTTTGTACACTTCTTTCTCAGTTTTAGGACATGAGAAAGGAAAGTCAATTTTCGGTCGAACCAAAAAAAAAAAAAAAAAAAAAAAAAAAAAAAAAAAAAATCCGCCCCTAAAAATTTTATTTCAGGTGCAACTGGAATCATTGACCAATTGAGATATAATTCAGGCTCATTACAGAGACCTCACTTTCTAAAAAAGTGCACGCACACAGTCTTCTGTTTCGAAAACTTAAATCCTTGTCTGTTTGCCCATTCCTAGATCCTGTTCAAAGCAATCTGATCTGGAGCTGCCTCTCTACATGTCTCATATCTGCACCTCAACAGCTAACTTGTAAGATCATCAACATATCAAGATCCTAAAATGATAGGAGGAAGTTGTTTTAATACAAAATTTATTTTTAGGCTGAACAGGGTTACACTAAGCACACCTCCTTGAGACATACCCTCTTCTTGTTTGAAAACTTCTGACAAAACAAAGCCAATCCTTACTTGAAAAGTTCTAGTTTCCGAAAAATTCTGAATGAAAAATGGTAGGTTGCCATGCAAGTCACTAGCATGAAGATCATGAAGTATACCGTATCTCCATGCCTTATCATAAGTTTTTCTCATAGCAAAGAAAATTGAGACAAGGTGATTCCTTCTTACAAAAAAGCTTTACGAATAGATGTCTCCAAAAGGAGCATGTCATCTATCTTTGTTCTTTCCTCTCGAAAACCGCTTTGATAAGGCAAAATTATATTATTCTTCTCCAAGAAATAGACTAAGCAGCTGTTTACCCTTTTTTTTCAAACAGTTTGCATACACAACTAGTAAGGGCAATTGGCCGGATAGTTTGAAAGATTCCTCGGGTCTTTCCCTGACTTATCAATGGGAATCACAGCAAGCTCTCCTCCATG